GCGCTCTACGGTCCGTCACAGCAGTCTAATGTGCAATGGCCCAAGCTTGTGAGACATCGTTCGACATGCAGCGCCCCTACAAAATCAGCTCGGCGAGATCCAGCCAAAGTCGCGGTTAGGTTCGCTCGGGGTATGCAGCTTCTTGTTCCCATCAACTTTTGCATGCGTTTGCTCTTATGATCAACATGTGATACTAACCAGGCATATTGACCTAAGGTGTAGTAAGTGCAAAAGCCGCAGGAAGAAGTGCGATGAGGCCAAACCAAGGTACATTGCTTCTTTGAGAGGATGAAATAATCGTGTATGGCTGACGTTCTGGACTGCAGATGTGGATCTTGTACGCGACTAGGATTTAACTGCGATTACGACTCTGTTTGGCGACCCCCTATCACCCAGATTCACAAACCTTGCAGGCGTCGGCATCCACATCGCACTTTGAAGTCTTCTTGGCCATTGCATGACATCTCAAAGTTACATATTGCTCTCGATTTGGATTCCGAGAGCAATGATGACTCTCTGGAACCTACCCATCTTGTCTTTGGATACGAGCAGAGCGGATTTGAATGGAAAGACTCTTCATCTTGCGAATGGCTCAGTCCTTTCTCATTTGCTACGCTCTATCCAAATCCAACAGAGTCACCCGATATTCTAAGCAACGTGGACGGGGCTCGTTACTTGTCATACTATGTTGGCCATCTCAGTAGACTACTCGTGATGGCAGATACAGCTTCAAACCCTTTGCGAGAAACGATTATTCCGAGATTAGCACACTCGCCGACACTTTTCCGTGCAGTATGTGCTGTTTCAGCTTGCCATCTCTCCCAAAGGAGCGATAATGACAATGCCTCGAGGGATGCCATGTGTGCATTGAAGTATTATTCGCAAGCACTCACTAGCTTGACGTCGACTTTGACGGAATACACTAGGTCTGATCGAGATCTCGCTGACGTGACTGTTCTCAACGCGGCTTTCCTATGCAAGTATGAAATTATTCGAGGAAGCATAAGGGAGTGGAGACTTCATTTAGTTGGCTTGATGCAGCTCGTGAACAAACTTCTCGTGTCAGTTGATATTACCAACGATGCGAGGAAGTTCCTTCAAAGTTTGTAAGTAGCCCTTGTTTCTATAAGCGCTTTGGAACTTTCAATAACAGAATCACTTGATTGAACGTATAGTATTGTCTACCATTACGAAGTCGCCAAGATCACATCTGGCGACAGAGAGGACAATCAATCTCTTGCAAAGATCCTAAACTCTATCATGAATGACGCAACGTCGGATGCTGAAGAGTTAGATGTGTACATGGGCTTTAGTAAAGGAATAATCGGCTTGTTTGGGAGGATTTGACGACTTTCTCGGACCAATGTTGACGCGGAGGTTCTGGAAGCATATGCCATGTAAGTATCAATTTCTACACTACTTCAATGTGTGGGCGACATACTAAGATAGAGCATAGATATCAAGGGCTCCAACATTGGAAAATCAGTGATACTGCAAATGCTCTATCTCCTGGGTTGTCAGCCTCAAATCTACAACATTTGAGACATATTGCTGAGGCCTTTCATTCTGCGGCAAACATCTACTTCTATTCCATATGCGATTCAATGCATCATCTCACCTACCTTGGGCAATCAACCGGAAGAATGAGGCATGAATCAGTCATCAAGTGTTTCGATGCACTTCAACACATTCCAGATGGTATGCCGTGTGAATCTGCTCTAGTGTTGCCGTTGTTCATTATGGGATGTGAATCAGACTTTCCTGCACAGCAAGTATATGCGATACAGCGACTTCGAAGACTAGAGACCAGTGTAGGCCTTGGCAATATCAATCGCGCACGCGTTATCGTTGAAAAAGTTAAGGCAGACGCAATTTTCGAACATCAATCAGACCCAGTTGGGCCGAAGTGGCGTAGAGCTACAAACACTTTTGGTTGGGATCTTATTATAACTTAGCCATACAATCATATACAGCTCTTCAAGAGCACTCCTGGTCACTGTGCCTTGTAAAGTTGTGGAAAAGCTCGATCATATAATCTTCTTGCAAGACATGAAACAGAATCACCAACGCAACTTCGCTCATTTGGGAACATATAGAAGGCATTTTCAAGCTGTTGTGGTTGAACGTATCAAGTCATGAGGCGGGCAACACCAAAACCAGGGTAACATCTTCAATTGGACCGACTGCTGTTTGGCCACCCCGTGTTAGATATTCTTCAACAAAGATCTTCAACCCGGTAGATCTTTGGTTCCGCCACCATCATTTGGCACCAATATCAGTTTGTATCCTTGAATTTTGGTGTTTTGCGTACTCAGAGTAGTCGGCCCCGATTATCGCACTAACCTTGCCAAAAGAAGTCAAATTCGCGCCGTTATCGAGGCCTGCTCCACACCCAATCTAATTCATATCCACTCGTTCTTATCAGCAGCTTGTCCACAACGAGTCAAAATCGCGCCGTGCATAATAGTTTCGCGATCCTAAACTCTTGTAGCACCATCACGCTCTACGTATTATTTGATATCAATCACTCGAGTTGATAAGGATCAATCTAAATGGGCCTTGTCAAGGCAATCAAAGTCTTTGTTCTAGTTAAGGCGGATCAAACATATAAAGCTCTCCATTGGGACGATTCTTCCACACGACGGGTTACAAAGCTCTTGGATTGAATGAAGAGATCTCTAATAAGAATATTTGATCATAGCCTTTTAACACTTCATTTTTTTCTTCAAAACTTCTACCTTAGATTGATTCCCGGTTAATCAGGAAGCAATGGCTTCCTCCGTTGTTCAAGAGGATGAGAGTCCTCGGTTGAAAACATGGCGATTTAATTCGTACGTACCATAAGTGACAAGCAGTGAACACACGATGTGAAAGCCTAACGTTTCATCCATCATAGTCCCTATGTTCAGTCAATGATTGTTGGGGCCACTTTATTTTGTTGCCCGGGAACATATCTTGCTATGACCGGTCTCGGCGCCGGCGGTGTTCACCCATCTTATATCCATATCACTGACGCAGGGAATGTTGTACTTTATTGCATGTTTGGAGTGGCTGGGATCTTCGGCGGATCAATCATCAATCAGGTTGGCCCGAGAGTTACGCTCATGATAGGTGCCACCGGCTATTCTATATATGCAGGCTCATTGTGGTATGTGCTTACTCAATGAAATGAGGTATTCGCACAAATCCTCACCCACAAACTAATGGCAATTCAATAGGTATATTGATCAAGGAAAAGGCGGATGGTTCAACATATTCGCCGGATTTATCTGCGGAATTACCTCTGGGTTACTATGGAGTACACAAGGTGTGTCTCTTGAAACCTTATCTTTGTGATGGAGACATGATGCTGATGTATTCCTCGCCGGCAACAGGTTTTATTACTACCGTCTATGCAACGGAACAGGAGAAGGGCAAATACATCGCAACAACATGGTTATTCAATGCAACCGGTTCTGTGATGGGCGCATGTGAGCCGAGTCCTATCTTTTAAGTTTAGTAGATATGTTTTGGCTGACTCGCCCTCTTCTCTCCTTAAAGCTATTGTCCTAGGGCTGACAGCCAAGAATACAACAATATCAGGAGTTCCTTCAGCCGTTTATATTACATTCATCACCATCGAATGCTGTGGCATATTGGTTGCGGCTCTTTTGATGAACCCAACAAAGGTTCGTCGTGATGATGGGCGCCCCTTAGCGATCTTCACTCCGCTGCCTTGGCATCGGGAGTTGAAGGCTTTAGGCAAAGCCTGCGCTGAGCCGAAAATGCTGCTCATCACACTTTCTATCTTCAGCTCTGAAATGTATCTCTCGTTATGCGGCACTTTCAACTCGGTCTACCTAAACTCGCGCAGCCGTGCTCTAGCCAATGTGAGTAGAATAATTACGTCCTCAAATTCTATTGCTGACCTTCGATCCAGCTTGCCTATTGGATCATGCAAATTGTAGGAGCTCTTGTAATCACAGCTGTGACTGATGCCAAAGGTTATCAGCGTCGGCACCGTGCTTTTGGGGCCATTTGCGTTGTCGCCGCTGTCATTGGCGGAACATGGATTGCCATGATCACATTTCTCTCAGTCAATAAAATTGACCGAAATGACCCTCGAGGTGTTGACTGGACCGATGGGTCAGCCTTTGCAGGTCCTCTAGTTATCTACATGTTCTTCGGAATGTGCTACCCTCTCTTCCAAAACTTCCATCACTGGCTGTACTCAACATTCTCCAATGAGCCCCATATATTGGCACGCTACAGTGGTTACTTCAAAGGTGTACAAGCGTTTGGTACTGCAACTGCCTTTGGGATCGACTCTCGCAAGACTCCTTTGATCAATATGGGGGCAGCGTATTTCCCACTAATGATGGTAGGATTGATACTGTCAGCTATTTCTGCATTCAAGTACACAACGAACACAAACTACGGCAAGGAGGTTGGCGTTATTGTTCCGGCAGCCTTTGAGAGAGAGCTTGGGGTCCACACGGATGACGGCACACTGGAAATTGCAGGTGTTGCGGTGCCTCAAGAGGCACAAGGGGAGAATCACGAGAAGCAAGATCAGCACATCTAAGTTGTCACCAACAGTCGATGTTCGTTTGATAACTATTGATCTCTGGCCGTAGCATTTGCTTTTCAGTCAGGGACCGGGAATAGTCGCAGTCGATCGGCAGCCTAGGCAACACGGGTCAGCGTTGAGATTTGGGGACAACACAATTCGTGTGGAGATAGCACTGTATCGAAGACTTGTTATTTGTTCTTCAAAAGATTTATTACTTGACCGCTTTATCTGCTTCATATATTTTTTAACACAGTCAGCCCTATGTCTCCAACGTTATTGAAGGAGTCGATGATTTTCTTAAATGCTTCATTATCTTACCAACGCAGCAACGCTCCGATGCACAGTATAGTACATAAATTAGCACCAATTTTAGACACATTCCTCGGCAACACTACCAGGCAAAAAGATTATAAGCTAAAGTCAGATCTGAGACAGTCTCACGAGCTCGAGTAATATGAGACAGATTTATGTAGCTTTACAGCAACATATACGGCTTTTGCTAAGTCTGCCTTCGAGGCATTGAAGGAGACGTTCTCACGAGTCAGGTGTTCAAAACTGCTCTCCTGTCACTGTTTTAGCCATCTGGAACAGAATTATCTACGGAGTGTCCCACGAAATTCGGGTTGAAGTTTGACTGGCTAGTCTATCAACATATGTAAAGGTAATATACCGTGTCTCTGATCGGGTGGCTTGCGACGCCACCTCCGCAAATGGTTACATGGTTTAGTGGCGTTGAAACTCAATATTTCCGTGTCAAAGTTAAGAAGCCTAGAATTCCACTGACTTATGAAAGCGCCTTTGCAAGATGGAATTAGCAGGATTGATTGACTTTTAGCAAATTTGAGATTTCAATCAAGCTTCAAACACTTTAAGAACGTTGTATATCTCATTCACATCGTTGAACTCCACGGTTTCCATTGCCAATCAACGGAGGATGTTTTCACAGATCCTGCCACTTGCATTGGCGTGCGTGACGCTCGCACTGCACGACCTCAGAGAAGTTGTTCATGGGGTGAAGTCGGTACCAGCTGTAAAGTATGATCTGGCTGCATCAAACTCGTCGAGTCCTTGTCAGCTGTTAAGCGCCGTATATGATGCGTCAAACAGTACGGATGACGGTGCTGTTGTTGTTGCAATCCCCCCATCTGTGGGACTGTCGTGTCTGAAATCTGTTCCGGTCGATAAAGATCGAGATATAGCCTTACTTGACTACATCACACCGTATGTTTCGTTTCAGAGTACTATAGAGATCTTGGCAGATCCCCCCGAAGGGTATTTGCTCCCTGGTGTAGATCTCTTAGGTGGCCTCAGCAAGATCCGAACAAATTTAGAGGAAGAGAATTACGACTCTCAGTTTGCTGTCATGCTGGATCTACAAAGCCTGGCGAGTATTTATTGTCAAGAATCGGGTTACGGGAGCTAATATTTGCCAGTTTGTTGCGGCCAACGATAACCATTTTAACTACCCTCCGGCAATACTGAACACCATACTCTTCTTGCGCCGAGAACTGGACTTAGTATCGATCTCTAAAGATGGGTTGCAAATTCCTGAGATTTATTTCAGGGTCGACATCCACCCCGACACTGTCGACAACTTGGATTACGACCCATCGCCTCTCGAATCTGTTGATGAAATACCGGTCGTGGAATTCCTTGAGCAAGACGCAATTTTCAATATTGCCAACTATCAGGATCCAGATGCGCAGTTTAACGCTCTTTTCACGTCTATTCCTCGCGTTGCCGCGGGAGGCGGTACAGGTACACTTATATTCAGCTCCTTCGAGGTTCCGGACAATTACACCTTGCGATTTCGAAATGGAACCTCAATCGTTGTTGAAAACCAGGTCTTATTCCTTCCTGGAGTCAATTTCACGGGTATCAACTCCGGGGAGATATTCCACAAAGTGTTCGAGATTCCATCATCAACAACTGGAGACCAAGAGCCCAGTACATCGGCGACAGATTCATCCACTCCATCTCTGACTGCGACGCGAGCAACAGTGCTACCAACTGTCCCTGGATATCCGTTGCCAATTTCAAAAGAAGACTCCGGAGCGGTGGCTGCATACGCTCTTGAGGAAGATGGTTATTTAGATGTTGTTGTTCTTGCCGTCCTCAGCTTCCTTCCTATTAGTGTCGACGAGACGGATTTCTCGGACACTCAAGAAATCGAGTTTCTCAAAGCCGCACGGGATGTCATCACAAAACTTGCACACGTGGCTGAGAAGGAGAAACGCGATAAGTTAGTCATTGATCTCTCTGCAAATGGAGGAGGCTCGGTCAAATTGGCAATTGAGATATATCGATTATTGTTTCCGGATGGCGAAATGACTACTTTTGACCGAATGCGGGCAAATGCTGCGCTTGGCGAAGCATCCGCAGCTAGCTTCAAAGCCGTCTCTGACACCATTTTAGGTACACGCTTTTTGGTTGACTCGTCAGGACACAAAATCGATAGTGGTGATGTCTTCTTCGGACCCTATAACGTTACAGGAGAAAATGTCACTATAGCGTTCGTTGATGACCTTTCAAAGCCCCTTGGGGACGAAGAAAAGTTTTACTATAATGGCTTTGAACCCAACGGCACGGTAGCCATTGAGAAAGCGCCGTTTAAACCCGAAAATATCTTGATAGTCACAGACGGGACATGCGCCTCGGCTTGCGACCTTCTGACCGGTCTGTTATCACGAACTTTTCAGATCAAAACCCTCGCTCTCGGAGGACGACCTCTCGAGCTTCCGATGCAAGCCATGGGTGGTGTAAAGGGTACTGAAGTCAATACATTCTCCTTCTTTCAAGAAGCCTTTGCGGAGATCAAGGAGACATTGAAGCATGACCAGGGCTTGTCGTCTATCAACGCAACCTATCTGCCCAGTCTGAATGATGCGCCGCTTCTCCCGTCTATAGATGGAGACAGTCGCTCAGCAGTAAATTCACATAGTGGATTCACGATTGATGATTTGGATGGATGTCCCCTTCAATTTCGCTACGAGGCTGCCCACTGTCGATTGTTCTATACCTCGTCCATGGTTGCCGATGTCACCGAGACATGGAGGAGGGTCGCTAACATTGCCTGGGGTAATGGAACTTGCGTTCCTGGATCTACCACCAACTCTGACGGTACAATCGGTAGTAATACTGTGGCATACAATGTCTCCGTACTAAGCAGAGCAAACCCCATGCAAGGTCCTGGAACACTCAACTTCACGTTTAATACTCTGAACACAACTTCTGATGCAAGCAATATCACTGGTACAGGTGAGGACTTTCTTTCAAAAGCACTGACAGATTATTTCAAGGAGCTAAACTTTTATTAGGAGGTGACTCGGTAAAAAACATTGCTGGTCGACAGATACACTCTTCCGCGGCCATCTTCGCACTATTGATATATGTTGTCTTCTGCATTATTATATAAGACTAGAGGTTTCAATCATATGAGGTAGATGATTAGACTTTACAAAGGGCTTCTCCAGCAGGAGAGATGATTTGGCAGGATGCTTAAATGATCTAGCGATAGTAGAAAAGAATGCGCTCTAAGGCAACAAAGCAATGCCATCTAGAAGCATATGTCTTATTACTAGCACCTTGTATCGAGTAGGCGTACTATACTTCTGTACATGAAATGTGAACCATAATAGTAAGCGTGGCCCTCAAGCGATTAGTTAATCTTCAGGTCCTATAGAATCTTGCCTTGCGTGGACCCCTAACACGATAATCACTGATTAGTGGTGAGAATTTGACCTTAATCTCTACTGCATCGTCATGGAGTCGCTTCGGAAGCAGGTTTCCTCTTCTTGCTATTGACAGTCTTCTGCATCTGCGGCAGCTCGAATATGCAAGGAAAAACCCTTGGCTGAAGCATCCTCTACGCCTGCTTTTGAAGTCAAGGCAGAGATTTCGTAGTCACCACCATTTTGGCAACGATATGCAATAGGCTTTTGGTGACCGTGAGTGTGCGCAACCTGCCACGGAGTTCTTCAGTTGCAATCTGAAATTATGTGTCGTCCAGTTGATCTACTCGATACAAAATGAACGGAGGCAGAACCTCAAGGCTAATATAGAATAACATTCCATGGTTTATTAGAAAAAGAACGTCGTCGATGGGTCCACCTATTCCCAGCGAGGAAAAGTGCTCCCTCCAGCTTCCAACCGTGATGATCAGCATGGCGTGTTTCCCCAACAACTTCCCTTCTCTATATCGATCGCCCCAGTGCTTGTCGCTGTATTCTCCAAGCCCAAAACCAAATCCTGCGGTATATACCCTGTTGAACCAGCCCAGTAGTATTGCGGGCATATTGTACCACCAGAGCGGGAGCAGGAATATGACAGTGTCTGCCCACAAAAGCTTTTCTTGCTCTCGCTTGACATCATCAGTCAGCGTGTTGAGAATGGTTGCCTCACCCATCGCTCGTGCCACTGACATACGCCTACCAGCTTGAAGTTAGGGATAGTCTGCGCGATCCACTTCACTTTTCCAATGCATGGCATATAAGTCAGAGACCCGTACCTCGTGACCTTGGGCTTCTAATCCGTCAATCATGAGTCGAAGAAGATTTCCATTAATGACAGTCGGATTGACTTAAGATGCTTCAAATTTCAATAAGTATCTGGTAACTCGCCGGATCAAGCTACTTCGGATAGTACCAATGATCCACTAGCGACATTGTATGCTAAGTTTTGCGTGGCATTCTGAAGTGGTCTGATGAGTAGCCCCACGGGGTTGCGAGCACCGAGACCCTCTAAATGGTGGCCAGCCAATGTGTTTGGACTAGGTAGGTGTCACATTAAGCCTCTGGTCGTCCTATGTTGGCAGCCCCAATCACAGACGTTAGCGACTATGCCGGGGCAAAGTCCATGGGGTAATAAATTCATGAGTTCGCGTCTCTAGAGATGAGGCGCAAACAACGAAACCCCCGACATACTTTGGCAAGTAAGGCAACATAGTCTTATCCCTCTTTTCTACATATTCAACTTAAGTTCACACATTCATTAAAGTAGTTGTTTACTTGCCTCGTGAAATATCAAACTACGGCTAGCAGCTTGAGTGGGGCACGTCTGCTTACAATTAATATAACATCATTTTAACATTTGTGATCTGATGGCCAATTAACTAAAACTTGTTCTGATTTGCGTTCTCCATCAACATAGTGCTATTGGGTTTGTACTTGTTCGATACCAACCTCACATCATACTCCACATCGAGCGTAGCGCCATTCGGTTCATTCTGAACAGGTTTAAAATCTAAAAGAAGATCGTCTTTGACTGCACAAGCAGTATCTGTCTCCAGATAAGGGTCGTCCCTTGGGTATAACTGAGCGGTTACTCCGACGTAGTCGGGGTGAGTCACCATCATGTGAATATGGGCCGGACGGAAGGGATGGCGGCCCATGATCCTGAGTAGCTCAGCAGAAGGTCCAGATGTGTCAATGGCATATTCGGTAGGCTTGAGGCAATAAAAGGAAAATTTGCCATTCTCGTCGGTACGAAATTTGCCTCGAAGGTTGTGACGACTCTGGTTCTCGGGGTCGAAGACATCGTATTTTCCATTCGTGCTAGCCTGCCACATGTCGAAGACTGCTCCTGGAATGCCCTTTCCGGTATCGACATCTTTGATGACACCATGGAAGAATGTAAATTGGCCATCTGCTGGCATGTTCTGGACCACGCTTGCACCTAAATCCCGAAATGGTGTTTCGGGCGACCAAAAGGGTCCGAGAATAGTGGAAGATGTTGGGGCGCGGCCATCGTCCGTGACGATCTTGTGATTGATTTCGTCGACAAGGCTACGCGACAGGTTAGTCACCGGATAAATCGCCAGTTGAGATGTTCCAGCTTCTGCAGGGAGATCTATCGTGCAAGGGATAACTTACGACTCAACGCCCAAGATGTCACAAACTCTCCATGTCTCATTTCGGTTCTTCTTGTAAGCTTGGCCAAGAGAGTTGATATAGTTGACGCCGAGAATCCATTCTTCCTGTGTGAGTTCGACTTCTCGGCAGAAGTCGTGCACGTGTCTAATTAGGGAGGTGAGAATCTCTCTATGCCTGGGTTTTGTCTCGGGGCTCATGAGTTCAATAACATGTTGTGTGAAATTGGGGTCGAATTTGCTGGTCTTCTCGTGCACCCCATTGGTGCCGTTGGTGCCATTGGTGCCGTTGGTGGCCATGATGATAGCGTTTTCCTTCGGTAAGTGGGTAAAGTGGACGCCTTCCCCGGGTATCTACTAGTTACGGAAAATGCAGTCGTTGCGCAGGCAATTGAAGTGAGAGGGATATCTACAGGATCTGGCGAGCGCAAAGGGAGGAGTTCATGTGAAGTATAAATTGTAGAAATCCAGATTTGGGGAGGAATAGCTACGCTCGACGAATCGTACCACGCGAAGCGCTCGGCAATGACAGGCGGAGGGTCCTTTGCCTCGCCACTTGGGTATTGGAGAAACATTAAGCCACTAGGGGCCTTTTACGGATGAGCGTATTTCCCCCCGCCTGGTATGTTCGGGTGCGGGGAGAGGGGCGCGAGCGGCGTCATTGATCCAAGTCGCTGCAGTTTTTATCCCCGACCCATCCTGAGCCATCCCATCCACCAAAAGGCGGGGCTTCGTGAGAAGATGCCAAATCAAATAGCTCGCTTTTACAATCCTCAACGAAGCTACTAGCACTCTAGGCCCATGACACTTCCTTAGCCGGTTCTCGATTTCGGCCCAGCGAGGCCAGCCATCAAGGGCCCGTCATGTCCCTCTTTTGATGGCCGTCTCCGTCCGTCTGCTCGTAAGAGAAGTGCTTATACTTCTACGAAATCCTTCTTTTAGGGAATCCTCACAGCTAGACTCATCGTATGATAAAATCCCATACCAGCCAGCCCGATTCCGATTTCAATGTTAGAAAGCTTCAAAGCTATTCGTGGACCCATAACAAGCGAGTCAAGCCGCCCGCATCCAAAGAATAACCGCTTTTAGCCCCACCATAGCTGATTTTCTCCACGGTAGTTTTGGGGGTTGCAGACTCTGTAGGTCTTATATCCTGCGGCATCATTGATGTAGATTTTTTTTTTTTTTTTTTTT